ATTTGAAAATTTGAAAAATGTTTCAATTTTCTTTCGTTTAGATAGTTTGTGAGTCGCATACGTTTTGATTACTTAATAATACTATATTTTAAAGATTAATGTCTTTCTTTCAGTAAAAGAGGGGGGGGGGAGAAAAACACTATCGAGAAGATTTTTGAGATAGTAGATGAAGAGCTTAATTGAAGAATAAGTTGATCGAAATTGTTTGAATGGTCGAAAACAATTGTTGAAAAAATTGATAAATGTTTCAATTTTCTTACTTTTAGATATTTTGTGAGTAGCATACGCTTTGATGATTTGATAATACTATTTTTAGAGTGGGGAAGGAGGGGGAAGAAAAACACCATCGAAAAGATTTTTGATATAGTAGATGAAGAGCTTAGTAGAACAAGTTAAATGGCATAATTCTTGAGCAAATTAAAAAGCTGAAAAATGTTTTAACCACCCAATTACTGTTAAGTAATATTTAGATCATTAAAAAACTCAATATGATACGCTTCCAGGTATCCAATTAAATCTGATCCGAAAATTGATTCAGTGTCATAAGAAACCCAAGCTTTAGAGCTATAACGTGAAGAAGCAATGCACAACAGCGTGAGTCGGAGCAACCATGTGATTCGTTGCAAGTACCCATTCGTAGAGAAATTAATCGAGAAGCCAGATGTGTTTCTTACAAGATTGTGGCCAGATGTGTGAATTCTATAAATATTGGTTACTGTTATAATAAACTACTGCAAGGAAAACTTTTATCAAGACCTCTTGACATTTGTTTCGCATTAATGATGTCAAACAATTTAGTAAAATAACATTTGCTTTGGAAATTCATTACTAATAAAACCATAACTTATTCTAAAAGTAAGGCCTAAAAACATACAAAAAAAATTATTTTTTATTATTAATGGAAAAAATTTTCTTTACAGTTAGTTACAGAAAATTGTACTCTACTTTACGAATGCTATACGTTTGATTTTGGATATCACAAATGGCTTAGGCATGAAGATAACCAAAAACTAACTTATTTGGAATCAAAATTCTATTAAGATTTAATTCAGTCTATTAAGATTTAAAACGATCATAAACGTAAGGGACCACTCACATTATTTGAATGCTAAATGAAGTTTATTCTCCTCTTTGTTGTATGTAACTTCTCTTAGAATGATATAATTCATTTAAAGAACTTACTATCTGAAATTATTAATTTCTCTCAACTTTCAAAAAATACAGAGGCACCAAGGGTCTCAAAAATGCTGTAAGGGGTATATACGATGAGAAACTAACAGTTTTTAGTAGGTTGCCCTGAATAATTTCGTTTTTTCTCTACAGCGGATATAATTATATTTTTTCACAGCTGATTTCACACTTAAGCCGCATAATCATTTTGACTGCAGATAAGCAAGGTTTGCTTGTGAAAAAGTTTGAATGATTCTACGCTGTAGCCTCTGGTTGGTGCCCTATTAAATATGGAAAGGGAGAAGCAGAATTTTCCGCATATTTTAATTTTTTAATACAGAAGCAAAATTGTTGTTTAAGCCAGAAACAAAAATTATCCGATGCTTATTGAGAAGATGAATCGGCAGTAAGCCAGGGCCAAACTGGTTTACAAAATTTCTACCCGGCAAAAATTCTATTAAGATGCATGAAGATGCAGAAGACCACGCCAGTTTAGGTTGATGAAACACAATAAAGGAATTAATTGGCGCAAACCGATGAATAACAACTGAAATCCTTGAGACATTAGATTTATTGAATTCAACCGTTCGTAATCATTTAAAAAGCCTAGGGTTTAATCTTAATGCTCGACATATCGTTTCTTCATATTCTTACGAAAAGAAATTTGTGGTGTCACGTTGGCGTTTGTGATTTGCTTTTCAAAAGTCAAAAAAATTATCGATTTTTGAAGCGCATTATAACTGGAGACTAAAAATGGGTTGTCTACAACACTATTCTTGTCTCTTGAAATTTTTTTAGACTTTATGGAAAAAGGTATTAGACCAGAATTGACAATATATGATTCAATAAAATATTTATCACTATAAAAGAACCGCCGTCGATTTAAAAAAAAAAAGAAAGAAAGAAAAGAAAGGAAGAGAACGAAATTACTTTTTGCACAACCCAAATACATTCGGTTATGCTAAGCAAACTCTTTCAAAAAATTTAGAAGACCAGCATTTTCCAACAAAAAACAAAGTAGTCACTAATATTTATTTCGTGTCATGCTTTATGGACTAATATATTTAACACTGTATCACTATTTATTTTTAGCTAAAAATATTTTGTATAGACGTGGCAATTAAAAATAATCAATAATTAGCTTAAGTTTTAATAAGAATAAGTTTTTTAAAAGGCTATATAAAAAAAACAAGCAATTCGTACATTCCGGTCAGGCTTAGCAAACTTTATAATCTATTTTAAGAAAATACCAACATTTTATGAAAAGTGGTCATTATTAATCATTTTTTCCTTCTGTGTCATGTTCATTTGACAAATAAATTTAACATTACATAACTTCAATTTTAATTGTTTACATACTATAATAGACAACTCAAAATAATTAAAAACTTCAAAATGTTTCTTAAGTATATGAAAAGAGAAGCAAACGTTTACGTTACGGTTAAGCTTAGCAAACTAAAAATCATCGAATGTAAGAAAAAAGACCGATATTTCCTAAAAAGTAGTCATTATTATTCTTTTCGTATCAGATTCTTATAACAAATACATTCATTGTTCACCAATTTCTTTTTAGTATTTTATCTATTGTATAGACAAGTAAAAATATTTTATAATTTCATAATATTATATTTACAAGGCAGGCAATTTTTAATAGTATGTTTAGGCTTAGAAAACATTGTCATCGAATCAATACTATATTCTTATATGGGATAATTAATATTCCTTCCGTATTATATGTTATGTCGGCAAATATATTTCATATTATATATCTATTTATTTTGAATTCTCTTGTTGTCAATATAATGTATTTAATACTAAAAATAATTTATGTCTCAAAATTTATTCTAAAACTATACAAAAAGCGACAAGCAATTTTTACATTATGTTTAGGCTTAGAAACTTCTATGGAATTTAAGGAAAACAGACATATACTTTCTAAAAAATGCTCGTTAATATTCCTTCCGTATCATGTTCTGTCGACAAGTGCATTTTAACTACCATGCATGGACAAACGACCATTGTTTCGATTGTAATAGAGTATGAATCAAATCCTGCTGGTCAATCTGACGAGGTGAAATTTTCTCCCAACTTTTTAACTACTTGACCGACATTTGAGATTGATGAAAATTCTGATAGACTTTCCCGCACGAAATCCCCATATTTCTTGTATATGTTTACGCTGTTAAACTCATTTTAATGCGCTATCGTGTAATTTTCCTATTATGCAATCCATCAAACGCCCGGAAATTACAACTTTCGATTCTTTTCGTTACATTGATGGAGTAGATGAGAATTTATTCTTTTTGTGGAACAAACGAAGGAAAGGTTGTTTGGGCCATTCTGAAGAAGAGTACCAATTTAAAATTGATCAGTATGTGAACGTGGTGATGACTTGACATGGAGAATATTAACTAATTTTAATGACGTAATTGTACCAATTATAGGAAGTAGCGAAATAATATTACAGGATGGTAAAATTCATGAATAAATAAAAAAGGTGCAGCGCAAAATAGGAGATAACTGATTAAGAAGATTTTTTTCTCCCCTTTATTTCTTATCGTTATCATTTTGTTCGGAAGAAACCTATTTCTTCCCAGACACTGAAAGAAATTGAAAAAAAAAACAGGAAAAACTGGACGAAATGGGAAAATCTGAAAATGACCAAGGCAGTTGCTTAGCAATAAGTATCCTAATTTTGATTTTAACTTGTTTTACTCATATGAGATAACAATTTAACTTGACGGGAAATTTCTTTGAATGTTTGAAATGGTATAAAAATTTTTTTTCGATATTTGTGTTTGGATTAAACTTTTTAACTAAAGGCTGTGCATTCATTTAAAATAAAGCTTTTTAATGAATATGTTAATTTTAAAAAAATGAGTTCGTAAAAGTTATTCATGTCTGTTAGATAAAGTAGCATTGCCCATCTTTAGTCAGTGATCTCTGTACTTATTATGAAAAGGGAGCAAAATGTTGAAGAAATAATAATGAATTAATTAATTAATTGATAAAATTAGAAAGCCACAATTTAACGAACATTAAAAGTAACTGTGATCTAATTTTCTGATATTTCAAAACTTACTCGAACGCTACATTGTTTGGTCTTATAAAATTTTTGCGGAAAATTGAGAATTTTTCATTTTTTTAAAAATAATTTTCAGTTTTTGAAAAAATTTCGCCGAATTGGCTACTTTTCTTTAAAAAAAATTTTAATTTTTTAAACTTAGGCTGATTCTAAATTCTACTTTATTCTTTACGGTAAGAAAGTATATAAAATTTATTTTCTTTGACATAAGAACTTCGAGAAGCCGCCCCTTAAAAGTTTTTGATGACAATGACATTGTAACAAATTATAAGTGCAGATTTTTTTTTTAACGAGTTATGGCTGGCGAGACCAAATTCAGCATTTTCGTCCATAACTTTTTCTTTTCAAATTATATAGCCATTTAACAGATCGCAACCAATAAATATCCAGTAATATATAGCCTCAAAAAGTCGCCTAAGAATGTAGAACATCCATGTGAAAAAAAAATGGGACATATTAGTTGATTTGAAGTGGATAATTTTGCTCTCTTACCTACCACTTTAGCCTTATGAAAGCACCAAACTTTGACTTCATATCCAAACATTAATATTTACATTATTACTGTGTTGTGGTAGACATTTTTATCTTATTTCGGCAAATTAAATCTTAATTATGAAACATGCTAGTTTTACTAATACAGGTTCGCTCTTTCTTTCCTTCAAAAAGAAAAAAAAAAGAGCAGCCCTTTAACAAAGACACTTGGCACAAATGGGTAAAACTATAAACATGTGAACTCTTAACTTACTATTTTAAATTAAGGCAGTGGCTATTGCACCAATATTCAGTAAAATATCCTCACCGCTATTCTGCCGGCTTTTGACAACAGCGACTCTTTGCAAGAACTAATCCGAGCACTTAACCTTAAAATTAAAAGAGAAAGAAGAAAAAACATCAGTCATCAGTGTAGGGTAAAACAGGTGAATGTATACCGGTCCAGGTAAATGTATGACCGGGCCATAACACTAGGCCTTAAAAAAATCAGTGTAGGCTGCTTATACCAGTCAAAAGTGTAAACCAGAAGATGGCACTCACGTTTCTTGAATATTCAGATTGTAAAAAATAAGCGGCTATTTTTAACACATTGCACGTGGGCAACTTTTCTAAAAAATGTATTACAGAGCTGTCAGAGATTAAAATTTTATAAAAGTGGAGGGCAAGAGTTCATAAAAGCTAGAGTAAACTCGTCTCTATAGCTACAGACAGCTTCAATTTTTTAAAAAAAAATTAAGACGTGCGATTGTAGTCCTGATTACATATATACTAAATCATTTATGTTTATAGTAATCAAGAATGGATAATTTCTTTGAAAAACAGAGAGAAAACGAAGTAGTTTTGCCATCACTTCTTAAACTTTTGTATGGATTGCAGAAATTTCGAAAGAGTATTTTTACGTGACCCGCTTGCAATGTGTTAAAAACAGCAGTTTTCTCTTAATCTTTCGAAAGAAAACACTTACAAGTTCTAAAAAATCTTTCATAAGATGATCGCCGCCATGATTATCGAAACTAAACATAATTCGGAAAAGGTCACGTGAACAGAACACTCAATTCTTCCAAATTTGCCTCGGTATAATATCAAAATGAATTTTATTGTACTGACTGATCGGTGTGAAAGACACTCTGCTAAATCAAAAATTATGACTTTTAAAAGTAAAGTTTTTATTGGAAACGAAAACCATTCATCAGTGGAATTTTAGCATGTGTGTTTCAAGACAATAGTATTGCTTATTTTAATCCACTCATAAATTTTCTGACTGTCATTTACAACCAACAACCGAAAAACAGACACAAAAGCTAGTGACACTGCCTCACTTGGAGATGAACAGAACCGAGCAAAGGATTATCAGAACTTCCGAAATTGCCACAAATCAAACTTGAACGGTCAGAAATCAAACCTAAATTGCGCAATCAGTGTAAAAAGGACCACTTTTATGTTACTATTATTTTTTTCTAAGAAAAGGGGAGGGGTGAAAACAAGAAGGAGGAGGATCACACACAAACCAATTTTGTATTGGGTGGGGATGTTGCAGAAAATGTTACAGAAGTAAAATTAGCTGTAAAACTGGAAAGGGCACTGGTGTACCTATCGAAGCTTCCTAGACGCCACAGGAATTCAGAAAAAGAAGAAGAAAGAAAAACCAGTGGTTACTCTCAGTGTTATTAATGAAACCGTTTCCGAGATTTAGATCCAGCAGGTAGTTTTCTTTAGATCTGCGTAACCTTCATTGTAGTTTATTTGTGCGCTTTTCAACGCAAACTCGTGAAGTTTTGAGCACATAAAACAATGATTTCTAGTTCGTAAATCGTTAATTAACTGGTATTCACACTTAATTTTCAGTAGATAAACGTCTCTTCTGCTTGTTTATAGCATATTCTTCAACATGTACTTCTTTTTGGAGGGGGGGATAGAACTAAGCTAATCAGCGTCTCCAAAGAAACGAAAAAACTGGTATTAAAATTACTATACGAATGTTGGAAAACAGCTGCTTTAATTTTCTGAATTAATATTCTCAGCACAGAGATCCTTCGCAGGAATTCTCTAACAGAGATAATTTTTTTTAAAGAGATAAAGAGGTAAGGTTAGGGATGGTAAGTAAGTCAGTATTAGTAAATGTCAGTGATTTTGTCGAAACTTTTTTTTTTAGTTTTCTTAGGTCACCTTAAATATTTGTCATTGCTACAGAAACATATACTGGCTTGCGAATTGTGCACTAAAAAAAAAAAGGATCAGTAGTTCGTGAATCGAATAATAGATATACGACAAATTAGAGAAAGATATCACAAAGATAAACAGTTTGCAGGGGATTCGAACTAGTTACCTCCACGCTTCGAGGCACTCGCGGACGGAGGAGGAGCTTATCGTTAAATACTTTCCTTGGTGATATTAAACTGAAGCAGAAGTTTCTCGAGCAGATTGACCATTTATATAACTTATTCCCTAACTTTGGAATAAGCCCCTGGTTTGGATGACCATTTATAAGTTTAATTTATTTTTATGAAGTAGTGGACATTTTTTTTAAAAAATTCGAGTTTATTAAAACAGTAATGGTGCACTCCTGTTATTATCATACAGCAAAATATTTTCTGAAACTACAAAAATTCCGTAGTAGTTCGAGTACAGTGCGCCAAAGGAAAAAAAAAGTGGACACCCTGAATAACTTTTTGATCTAATGATCGAATTTTCACTCTGTAGAACTCAAACTTAATGGTTAGGGGGTAACTTCAAATATGCTAATTAATTAGTACAGGTGATATTTTATGTTACAAAATCAAACACAAAAACGTACTTTCTCTGAATAAATGTAACTTTTTCTGAATGGATTTGAATTTTTGACGCCAAAAATATAGGGGGTAGTTCGATTTAAAAAGTCCTCCACGAAGGCTATTTATTTATTTATTTTTTTCAAAACTTCGCCGTTTTGTGAAAAATGAATTTTTAAAAATATCCTACGTGCAGCGATAACTACATTCATGTGGTTTAAAAAATCAAAATGTATTTAAATTTGGGAGATTTTTTAATTTATGAGCAATGCAAGTTATGGGTAATTTAAAAATAAGTTGTAAACCTGGTATTTTAAAAGAGCATTTTTTTTTTTAATTTTGTATTTGTAACATTAAAAAATCCTTCTTTTTCACAGGCCTTTACTGTGTTGTTCCCTTTTAAATCAAATTTGTGAAACAAAGAATGATACTTTAAATCATAAACTTAGCTACCACTGGAAGAAAGATTCCCAAAAAGTGTAAGTTGGTAGCCCTGTCTTAAACAATACATTCTAAGTGAAGCAACAAGCTTTAGCTCTTTGTTGTTTAAAGAATACTCATACTCATACTCATACGTGGTGGTTATCTTAGCATCAGCCCCGCCAGAGGCTCTAACTAATTCAATTTAAAGAATAGTTGTTGCCAAGCATTTAAAAGCAATTATAGTTTTACATTTCTAGTGGTTTGTACCATTGGGTGAATTAATATTGCCAGATTGGCTCTACGACGCAAAGTGTTAAAGCACGACTTTACTTTTACGAACCTGCCAACTATCTAGGATTTTTGGCAAAATTTCTTTTATTGGTAGCTAAGTTTATGTTTTAATGTACATGTGAATGATTCAAAAGATTATATGAAAAGCAATTTTGTTCCCTGTCTCTAACGTGGTGTAGCTTTATAATTTAGCAAAATTATCAAAAATTCTGAAAACTTTAGTTTTTTATTGTCCATCACTCTCTAAAATATTCTGAAGAGAGTGTAGCAGTTGGTGGAAGCCCCACAATTGTGTAATCGTAACAGCTAATTTTATACCCATTTAGCCTTTAAGACTACTGTGACGAAAACGCACCGTTACGTTAAATGCACCGTTATAATAAAAATGATAGAAATCTAATGCTGAAACTAATCAAATATCTTGGGTCGTATTAAAGAATCATTTTAAATGCTGTACAGAGATAGAACGTCGGGGTTCCATGTTCCCGTTGGCATGGTTGGCGTGGGTTGGCAGCTCTACTCTTAATTTTAAAAATGATATTTTAAAAAGAATATTAATAAGAAACACTTTAGTAATTATTTTACACAGGTATGAGGTCCGGAAACAAGCATTTTCAAGAAGGTCTTTCATTTAGAAGTGAAAAAAATAATGATATTTATTTCCTGAATGGACAAGTGCTTAAATGATAAAAAGAAAGAAAGTTGCTAAGGGTGCAGTATGATTCAGAATAAAGTCCCTCTTCGCCATTGGAATACAAAAGATAACCTTTAAATGTGCAGTGTTACCCGCAAAGACGCACCTCTCTTTGGGATTGGCTGAAGAAGAAAAAATCCCATTTCTTCCTGGTTATATTCATAGCACCAGCAATCACTCAAAGACAGTGTGTGTCAGGTCACATAACACATCATTTTAAAGCACTCAGTTGACAGGTAATGCCAAAATTTAAGTAATATTTAATTCTGACCTCTAATTCCTCCACCCCTCCTATATATAAAAAAAAGAAAGAAAGAAAGCAATGACCTAAAAATTTCTCTCTCAATACATACATCCTTCATAGTTTTATAGGCATGGAATATCTTAAGCAAATCGTTTTGCAATTTTAATGTTCGTACAACAAAAATTATTGCACAAAAATAATGAAATAAACATTGTTTTCGTGAGATGTGAAATAAGCTCTTATTATTCTAAACTATTAAAAAATCGCAAACTAAAGGGCTGAAAGTAAGACGGAAAAGTGAAAAAAATTACGGAAAAATCATTTCATTTATATCTGGTTTTCGTGAGGTGTAAAACAAGCTCTTACTATTCTAAATTATAAACTGTTCATCAGTATCCACTTATTGAACTTACTGTGTATTACTGAAACGCTTACCAAAATAATTCTCAGTTATTCTCGTTTTCTGTATAGGATGCAGAACGAAAAGCATAGAATTTCATAAACTGTTACAGCGGATAACTACAAAATAAAATTCATTTGGAAAATCAGAAATTTAATATAGTAAATTAATATTAATACATTTAATTCATTTTTATACACCAAAATATATTTGCATCAAAACATAATTTGCACGAGACGTAAATATGTATTGCAATTTCAATTATATTTTAATGCATCCAAAATTTGTTTGAATTTTTAAAAAAAACATTTTGCATAAGAAAAAAAATATGTCTTACATATTCTCGCTCAGTTGAATTTCCGATCCGTTTCAATTTCGCACAAAAAAGTGCTAGAAACATTGCCTTGACCAGTTGACTTATCTAAAATTATTTTAATTCTCACAGTATAATTGTAATCAAAGTAATTTGCATTTAAAAAAAAAGAAATTATAGTTTCCTGTTCAATTTATTTTACATTTTGCTCTTAATCATCTGATTTGTACCGTCC